ATGAAAAAGACGATGGACATAGAAGCAATACCAATCCAAACAGATAACTGAAATCTTTTATGTTTAAAAGACCGAAACGTCCGACGTTGACATTAAACATTAAAACAGCATAATCGCATATTAGAATTTTTGTTTGTTTTTCAGTATATTTTTCTTCATACTGTCGGATCTATATCCATGTATTTGCTTATATATATATATATATATATATATATATATATATATATACATGACACCCTGAAATAGACGATCATATGTACCGATCAGTACGTATGTACTATAATAAGGGTTGTGTTAACAGTACTCCGGTCCAATATAAATGCAATGCAAATCATCTTTGAACATTAGAACAGAACTGTATTTTCTCATGCATATGATTTTGTCATATGTCATTTCATGCATCTGAGTCATTTTGACTTAATACACCAGGTTTTGTAGGTTGGCTTACTTAAAGGGTCAGGAGTCATCTCATCATGCTCCACAGATGTTCAATGGGGGACAAGGAAGTTGTTGAAAATCTTGCAGAACATGCTGAATAGTACAGGCATCATCTGGTCTGGCATTATCCTGATGAAACAGCACATTGCTTTCTTGTAGGAATGGCAGCAGAATTCATTAAACAGTATTCTGAACTTGGTTGGTGTTATTCAATGGTCACTCCACAAATAGTGAAGACGATTGATTTTTTTCTTTCTTTTTTATAATTTAACAGCCTTTTGTGGGATATTTAAAACTGAAACATATTTGGGATTTTAAGAATAATATTTTTTTTGCATGTGAATATTGCATCATCAATTTTTTAGAATAATAATGATATCTGTTTATATTTCTGAGATGAGGTATTATGTACGCTATTTACATTATTCAGACTATTGTCCTCATCTTTGTCGCCATGTTTATCATGTTTCGGCCATTGTATGCTCTGGCCTTCTTCAGGTGGTTGGAATGTCAAACTGAACCCTTTATTGCACTCACTGGGGTAGACTGTTCTAGTTCCATGTGCCATGTTTAATGGATGTCAGTTATCTCTTGTTAATTCCCCTCTGAAAGTTTTCCACTGCCTTAACCAAGTATTGAATTTGGGTCCTGTCACTGGATCTAACTAACACCTTTATCCACTGTGCCATGTGTCCAAAGAGTGAGTTCAATACCTGGTTAAGGTGGTGGAGAACTTTGATGTTGAATATTAGTTAGCTTGCAAACAGTCTGACACACAAGTAGACTGGTGTAGTCACTTGAAGTTGCGTTCCTTCCCGAGTCATTTAATGGAGAAATATATGGGTGAATAGAGTATGTTCATGCAAATGTGTTGGGCAGGTCCATTCTATCAAAGTGGACTAACGCACCTGCTGCATTAGGTACTCTACTATAAATGAGGTAGAATTAGCTGGAGATACAAGAAGGCAGCCATGTTAGCAGGTAAGTCATTTGACTTCTACATTTGAGAGGGGAATTAACAGATGACTGACATCCATTAGACACGGAGCATACAACGGATGAAATGTTGTGATAAACATGGCGACAAAGATGAGGACAATAGTCCAAATAATGTAAATAGTGTAAATAAACAATGATTTTTCCAGATGCTAGTACTACTATTTGATGTCTAGTTGGGAGGAGGAGATGCAAGTCGTACTTTTTCAAGGAGTATTTGCATGGACATGAACGTCAGGAACCTGTGTGGAATTTGAACTCGGCTCTCTAGTTTCTCATTCTGTATTGCTATCCATTACACCAACCACACATGCACTAAAAAAGATAACAAAACAAGCAATGGTTGTAACACATAGAATCCTGCATCATGATGCCAAGGGTTCAGTGTCAAAAGTGATGACTATCTAGGAGATAGTATTCACTCCCTAAGTTTATATCTTGCACAAGCAACCATCACTAGCATGAAGCCTGTGTCTGTTGTCATCAATGTTCATTATAGAGCACCATTTAATTCCTCTGTATATGATGGTAATACACCACATTTTCATTGGGAACTGGTGATATACACGGCAGTGATGTTGTCTAAGTCGAGGCATGTTTGTCTACAGTAAACAATTCCAAACAGACACTGCTAGGATGATGTTTGTTCTCAACCATACTGTAGAAACTATGCAGTCTGCCACTTTCACCATTACAGTGCATTGAACTTGGTGAACGTCATTACTACATGGATGTCCAGAACCTGGTCTACAGATATGGAAATGTTTGACTTCTTTTTTAAAAATCAAAACACTACTTAATGACCATATACAAACTGTGCAATACTTTTCTGCAATGACCATCCAGCCTATTAAATCAATTGAATCAATCTAAAACAGCTTTAACTGAATGATAGGATCAATATGTATCTCCATGATATGATATCTAATTACATTAAACTTTTACTGCATTGAATATTATTACAACATATGTAACTATCTGACCACGGACACAAATGTTATGCTGGTATGAATATTATCATATCACAACATGGCCAAGAACTGACATTTTAATCAGAAAATTTATTAATTACTTGCATGCATATGAATATAAGTCATCAGTTCATAGAATAGAATTGGTGATTCATAGTTCAAATTCTGGCTCAGCCTATCACATTCTTTTCATGCTTTTTCTCTTGAGAAATGTATGAATCTATATCTCCCCACCAGCTATAGATTAAATCACAGGACAAATTGAGCTTCTAACCCTATGTGGAAAGCAGTTCAGGTGAAGGACCTCTCTGAATTCAGAACCATGGTGAAAACAAAGGGAAACAACTTGACTATCTTTGTTGAAGTCATGGCAATTCATACATATTAAAGAAAATTAAGTCTTGGAGAGTCATAATTGATTATGTCCTGGAGGGCCATGAAATTAAAAGAATAAGCATGTATATATTATATTTGAGTCAAAATCAACATCATTTTTATAGTGTTAAAATTTTACTTTTTTGTCAGTGTACATATATATATATATATATATATATATATATATATACACACACACACACACACACATACCCACCATAGTTTCGGTGTATAAGATACATTTTTTATCTTAAAATTTAATTTCAAAATCTGCTTGCGTCTTATACACATATAACATATATACAGTTATTAATTATGTATATATATATATATATATATATATATATATATATATATATATATATATATATTTATACACGTTTCATTAAATAATATAGACAAGTGTTGTCTATTTATTTTATGTAAAATTTTTCGTATCTTCTGATAAGTTTGGTAACATTATCATTAACCGAAAAAAGAAATTCACAATATTTATCCATTATTTTTAATAAAATCTAAGCTTTCGGCTTACTCAAGCCATTATCAAAGATGTAAATACAAACATATCAAACAATATACGGACACGACAGTGATGATATAGTCTGTCATTGTTTTGTTTACATAGTGGATCACTAAGCAACGATGAACACGCGCATATAAGACACTAGAAGCGAAAATCGCACTGCATCTCATGACGTCACACATGACTACACGAGAGTGAATTGGAGAATGAAATAAGGAAAGCCGTTGGTATAACCAATGGCTTCTGTTACCAAGTATTGAAATTATAGACATTTAAGAATATTTAAGATTCTTCTCCCCCAGTTAGCGATTTGCAAAAAACCAACATAGTTTATAAATTCAAGTGCCCTTTGGGAGAGTGTATCTCCAACGAATTAAATAATATTTATGTTGGTCACACCACAAACTCGCTTTCACGACGCTTGAAACTACATCTTAATGAAAACTCTAACATTTTTAGGCATTTAAAACAACATGCCTGCCCGCACACACAATTCCGTAAAATACTTGTTGAAAACACAACTATACTTCGACATGAAAACAATAGACAAAAACTAAAAATACTTGAAGCATTATACATCAAACAGTTAAAACCCAACCTAAACAAAATCATCTATGGAATCTCTACAAATATTCTTAAATGTCTATAATTTCAATAATTGGTAACAGAAGCCATTGGTTATACCAACGGCTTTCCTTATTTCATTCTCCAATTCACTCTCGTGTAGTTATGTGTGACGTCATGAGATGCGGTGCGATTTTCGCTTCTAGTGTCTTATATGCGCGTGTTCCACTATGTAAACAAAACAATGACAGACTATATCATCACTGTCGTGTCCGTATATTGTTTGATATGTTTGTATTTACATCTTTGATAATGGCTTGAGTAAGCCGAAAGCTTAGATTTTATTAAAAAATAATGGATAAATATTGTGAATTTCTTTTTTCGGTTAATGATAATGTTACCAAACTTATCAGAAGATACGAAAAAATTTTACATAAAATAAATAGACAACACTTGTCTATATTATTTAATGAAACGTATAAATGAAAATATGCTGCCTAAATACACACAATATATATATATATATATATATAAATATATATATATATATATGTGTGTGTGTGTATTTGTGTATTTAGGCAGAAAATATTATTTAAGGCAAATACTATTAAAAATGACAGACATTTTCTTGATTGACTTTTGCAAATTATGAATAAGCCTCCTTACACAAGGAGAAAATTCTGTTAGAAATTGTCCAAAGTTCATTTACAGGAAATATGGTACAAACTTCCCATACTTTTCTTCAAAAATGAACTTTGGACAATTCCTGACAAATTTCCTCCTTGCCTAAGAAGGATTGTTTATAACTTAGAAAAGTTGATTATTAAAATTAATTGAAATAAAATGTATGTTGTTTTTAATAATAATAATGCATGTATGTGTGTGTGTATGATTTATATATATATATATATATATATATATATATATATATATATATATAGGTATGGTTTAGTTCACATCGAAAATCTCCTAATTTATTTTTCAATTTTCATTGGATACATGGCAAATGTGTCTTCAAAATAAGGATGCGTCTTATACACCAGTGTGTTGTATATTCCAAAAAATAAATATATATATATATATATATATATATATATATATAAGTAGGTGTGATAAAGACATTTAGACTAGAGTCAAGATAAATAACAAGAAGCACTGTGTGTATGAAAAAGAGGCAGAGAGAAAGAAATGCATAGGTACAAACAATGTATGAGAGAGAGAGAGAGGGAGAGAGAAGGCAAGAGAAACTGTCTGTAAGAAAAGCAGAGAGAATGCAGAAGACACAATGTGTGTGTGTGCATGCGTTCTTACAAATCAGAATTGTATATTACTACACTTACCCGTAACCACTTGTGTTCTAGGCATTCAATTGCTGTCATACGCTTGCTGCAAAAAAAGAAAAAAAATGAAGCAAAGAAATGTATATAGCCTGATTCATCAACACTAATCATCAATGAACTGGATCAATGTCTTTACTTGGGCATTTGCCATCTTACTTCAATGATATAATATCATAAGGGACAAATAGACAGTCTCTTCTTTCTTGGACATTTCCTAAATATGAGAATGTACCAAAAATGGCTCAACATAACAAAATCTAGAAATCTGGAGAGATAAAAGGAGATTCTCAGGCAATCCCACTTCACAAAATCAGACCAGAACATCTAAATATCAGCATTGTATTTGGAATCTCTTCTTCATCAGCACTCCTTGTATATGTGTGTGCCTATATATATATATATATATATATATATATATATATGATGGAATGAGGGTTCAGTAGTCCAGTTCTTAGAAGTGAATAGACAGATTACCTGCACATGACTTAATTACTGTGGTGAAGGCTCATGCAGAATCATCCACACATTTTGCAAGAACTAAATAGCGAAATGGTGTAGAAACTGTGCCACAAGACTCTCCCCAGGTTTTGAATTCAGAATTCTCCTTTTCCTAGACTGGTTGCCAGCCACAGATTGTTGCACTCATTTTTCACACAAAGACCCATTTGAAATGATATGAATGTATTTCTTTTCTTCCCAGCCATTAGTGAGACAGGCTGGGCTCTTTTGATTGGCCAAGCAGCCAATCTAGAACAATGCTTAATTAAAAAATGGTTTAGCATGCGGCTAGCATTTCCACATCATAAAAACCAAATTGCTATAGAAACCCCAGCAACAATACATATGGGGAGGTTTTGGCCTTATACCCTACAGGAATTCAACAGGGCTAAATAAATATATGACAGACTCTGCCAATGTCTTTGGTGTATGAAGGTTCAATGATACAGCACATAGAACTGAACAGTCAGACTGTTATGGAGTGGTTTCACAGTGGAGGCTTGTATTTGTACTAAGTCGGTCCTAAAATAGGTTCGACGTACAAAATGTTAGGAACTTGATATATAAGTAATGACGCAGAGAAATCTAGTTGTGGTCGCTGATACTTTAGTATCCGACTAACGGTCGTCCGGCATTGACTGACTGCCTGACCCACTGAGCGACTCCCTTGTTACTCTTACTACTCCTACTTATTATAGGTGGGAGAGTCTATTAACTATAGAATAGGTGTGTTCCACTATAACACTAACCTACACATATGATTTGATTATAGTGATGAAGGATTGTGAAGAACCATCCACACTTTTTCAAAGAACTGAATACAGAGAACTGGTGAACATAGTGTGTCACAAGGTCGCCAAATGACACTCCCCAGGTTTTGAATTCAGAGTTACCCTACTACAGTTAGCAGTGTTTAACAATATTTATTTAGAGTAACTTTACTGATTTTCACAGTTCTACGATTTTTGATAGCTAAATTGAGATGTTAGTTGTCATGAACTAATTAACACCTTGTTGTCATTAGCCATGTTCACTGAACCATGACACAATAAATAAAACAAGATTCCAGGGTATAACTCCCAATTTGAAGCTAATACTGTTTGTCTAAGTCGCAAATGTGATACAGTTGGTCACTCATGCAATATTGATAATAGAGAAATTTTTTGCAAAGTATTGTATGTGAGGACATATAAAACACCACCCTTTTTCCTAAAAAATAGATAAAATAAATCTTGTATATGAAGATGAGATATCAGTACACTAATGCTTACCAAGATACTGTCAAGTACAAATACTTCTACCTGGCCTATCTCTAATCCTGTAACATTGAATATAATTTGATTCATTCATTCATTTTTTGGGGGCTTATCAATCTTTTGCAGGCTATTTAAAGCTGCAAAATATTTTTAGATTGTAAGAATTAGTGAGTGGGTGGAGATAATAATGTGTCATGTGTCCTTGCAGACACATGGCACAGTGGATAAAGGCATTGGTTAGAACTTGGAGAGGGGAATTAACAGGAGATAACTGACATCCATTAGATATGGCATGTGGAACTAGAACAGTCTACCCCAGTAAACAAAATAAAGGGTTAATTTGACATCCCAAACACTTGAAGAAGGCTGGAGCGTACAACAGCTAAAATGTGATAAACATGGCAACAAAGTTCTAGTTCCATGTTTAATGGATGTCAGTTATCAGTTATCTCCTGTTAATTCTCCTCTGAAAGTTCTCCACTGCCTTAACCAGGTATTGAACTCACACTCTTTGGGTCCTGTCACTGGATTTAACTAACGCCTTTATCCACTGTGCCATGTGAGGCAGTGGAGAACTTTCAGTTCTTTCAGAGGAGAATTAACAAGAGATAACTGATGACTGACATCCATTAAACATGGCACGTGGAACTAGAACAGTCTACCCCAGTGAGCGAAATAAAGGGTTCAGTTCAACATTCCAAGCACCTGAAGAAGGCCGGAGCATACAATGGCCAAAATATTGTAATAAATATGGTGACAAAGATGAGGACAATTGTCTAAAAAATGTAAATAGTGTACATAATACCTCATCGCAGAAATATAGACAGATACTGAGATAATAATGATTCACTGATATACGTTTTACTAATTAACCCATAGTGGGGAGGGAGAAGTGATGGTATCATACTTTTCCCTAAGGTATTTGCACATAAGTGAATATAGCAAACCAAACTGGAATTGAAACTCGACTCTCCAATTAACAATTCCAAGTCATTTCTATTACACCACCCACACATCCAACCTTATGGCACCTGGTTTTTCCAAGCAGTTACTCATCTAGAATACTGACCAGGCTTGATGTTGCTTAACTTTGGTGATTGTGTGGGATCCGGTGTATCAACATAAATTGGCTGTAAGCAATACTGAATATAAATAGCTGAGCTGAATCCTATAGGCACTCAAATATGGAAATATTGACAAACAGGGTCAGATAATTATATATTTTCAGTATTCACTAAATTATTATTTGTGGTTGCGATATTCTTACCATCCGGTTTTGCCTCAAGTCACCTTTTCCTGATGTGTGAGAAGACAACTGAGGCAGAATTACATAATTCCATAAAAACTGGTTTTTTTTCTAAACAAATAACAGAATAAAGACAGCCCTTTTGTCATAATGTCTTTCCTGTACACTCCCATATCTGTCACCTAAAATTACAATTTCATAAGCTGGTAGCCTACTGAAGAGAGACTATTAATATTGTTCCCCATCATAAACTCTAAAATAGCTGTAGGATATACAAAGAAGCACAAAAGGGTTTCAGTTAGCTGCACATAAGAAGCCAAACAAAATTTTCCCAAGTTTATAGACTATTATATGAATAAAGACAAAAAGAAAACTTAGCTGACATGTTTCATTCTCTGATGGACTTTATTAAGGCAAATGCAAGAATTTTATTTTGTAAATATGTAAGAGCAAAAATGTTATTGGTTTTCCAAAATTTTTAAATTTAAGAAGTCATCCTGAATATTCATCAGGTTAGCCGAAAAGTTTTGGCAGACTATATATATATATATATATATATATATATATATATATATATATATATATATATATATATATATTGCTGCCATATCTGGGCTGGTGCTCCTGATATATATTTAGGAATTCTTGATAAAATCCAAAGAAGAACATATGTCATTGTTCCTGACTTGGCATCTTGCTTTCAGTCCCTTTCTACGACCATAATGTAGCTTCCCTTTTCTATAAATACTTTCATAGTAATTGTTCTGATGAACTTTCTGCTATGATCCATAGACTACATGAATTTAAATGTAGTATTCATGGCAAGGTTTCATTATTTAAAGTTGAAATGGCAAGAGATGTAACCATAAGTTCTATGCTAACAGTTTCTTCTGTAGTCCTTCTCACTTGAAGACATCCTTTGTAGTGCCATGGGTGATACACTTATGGACAAATAGTCCAAAGTCAGAGAGTTCCACAATGCCATGCCCTATCCCAGTGTGCTTGTTCGAACCACTATACTAAGCCCAAAGATTCCATTATTTTCTGTTCAGCTTTAAGTAGGGAGCCAGTTTCTGTCTTCAAAATGACATGCAAAGTGGATTTGTTTTTGGAATTTCATTCTTCTAGCCTAGTGGACCTATAAAGACAGCAGGCTGGTTTGAATTCAGAGTTGTTCTTTTCCTAAACTGGTTGCCAACCAAGGCTATAGGGTCCAATCTGTCTTGCTATTTATCCATAGTTGTGGGGAGAAGAGTTGGATTCATACCTTTCCCAATGTTATTAGTGCATAAGTGAATGCAACGAACTCAACTAGAATTCAACCACTCTCTTTTAATCCACAGTGTGTCTCTATAATTCTTTCTTTGAGATGACTTGTGAGGTGGATTTCTTTTTGAAGTTATCTTTTTCTAGCCTTTGCCTAATGAGGCAGGACCTACAAGGTAGCAGGTGGTTGTATTGGTAAGTGTCACATGCCGATGGGTTTGGTACATTGCATCTCTGGGTTTCCAACCTACTCCGATATCCCTCAGTCTGGTCTGGAACCACAAGGTACCCAGTTTCCATCGTGTGTTGCAAGGAGGCACTGTGAGAGTCTTGAATCTGTAGAGCTGTAAAACCATCAGAGAAGGACTTACACACTTGTCCCTCCTTTCCATTCTGAAGAGCTAGATGATGGCTGTAGCTGGGGGGGGGAGAAAGACAAGCAGACTAGACTACACTATTCTACAACACTACAGACTACAAGCCCTTGTGTTCAGAGACATATCAGAATTTATTAAAAAAGCTTAAAAAATGTCCTTAAAAATAAAGAAAGAAATGCTGAACAATTATATAAATAGCAGGTTGGATTGAGGAATTGGAGAGTCGAGTTCAAATTCCAGTAAAATCCATTACATTCACTTACATGTTAATACCCTTGGGAAAGGTATGAATCTCTTCTTCTCCCCAGCTATGGGTAAATAGCTGGACACACGGGGTTCTATAGCCTTGGATGGCAACTGGTCTACTGCAGAAAGAAATGGTTACCTAATGTGGGAAAAAAATCTGCCCCGTCAGTCATGTATCTTTCGCTACATGATTGCCTAAGCATGTATCATGCATGGCACATAACTGATTGACTGACTGTATGGTAGTTAATGTGGGACATTTGAAGCAACAGAGGTGGGATTCTACTGATGAATGCTAAGAATACCATAGGCAGAGTATAGGAGTAACAAGGAAGTTTTAAGGAAGTTATAGAAACTACAAAGAAAATGCTGCTAATGATCAGAGATGAGACAATTAAAAACTTTTAGACACATAATGAGGAAAGAAAACTTGAAGAATTCAACACTCATAGGGTATAGTGACATCAGAGAAGAAGGGGTCACAGTGGGTAAACTACTTAACAAGTTTAAGTAAAATTATAGCAAGATATTGACTGTGAAAACAAAAAGGGGGTATTAAAAGGCCAAGAAAGCAACAACGGGAGAGAAGTTGTGAAGAGCCATCAGAGTCCATATCTTGAAAGAAGTCTAGAGAAACACTAACATGAAATCCTCAATTAAAAAATTTGTTTATTAAATCTGATAGAGGCTGAATGATGGAAACAGGTTTTAAGTTTGACTTTCTTTGTAATATTTATAGTATCTCTCTGCAGCTTCTTGGTCTCACATTTTCCTCTGACCTGAGGTGGGACAACTATATCGAATCAATAGCTACATCTACTGCAAGGAAAGTTGGTTCTATGTGTCATACCAGAAGGTTTTTCTCATGCATCCTTCAAATCTACCATTCATCCTTGGATTGAATATTGTTGCCATAAATGGTCTTGTGCCCCCACTGTTCATCTCGATGTTCTTCACAAATTCCAAAGATGGATATGCAATGTGATAGGTCCAAACCTGGCTTCTCAACTCCAATTAATATCTCACAGATGTAATGTGGCTTCCCTCTATCTTTTCTACAAATATTTTCATGGCAACTGTTCTGACGAGCTATTTTCACTGATTGGAATCTGGGTCCCACCCATTTACTGTTGAAACAGTTAAATGTACCCACCTCTTCTATTCCAACAGCTTCTTCTCTCAGACTTCCCAACACTGGAACTCCCATCCTCTTACTTACTTCCCTGATAACTATAACCTTCAAAACTTTAAATGTAATGTCAATCGACATCTTCTGATGCCTTTATCTTTATCCCTTCCCCTCCTCTTTACTCTTACTTTCACTCTCTGTAACTCCTTGCGTGCTAGTGGCACTCCCACCTTGTTTGGGGTGAAATACTTAAAAAAAAAAAAATTTAAATATAAAATGTCTCATAAAAATACATTATAAAGCTAAAAGTCTGATGTTTATTGCTTTTGCTTTCAGTGTCATATGTCGAAATACATTACATGTATATATAAGCAGTTCAAGTTTAAATAGTGAAGAAATGAAATGTACATTCAGAACATATGAAATAATCTGATATTTTGTCCTTTAGTCAGATTTTGGGAAATGGGATGATCTCTGACCTTTTGTGCACCAATTCTAACACATGCCTAATTTTTTTCTTTTTAGTACATTTGTTCTCATGTCACATTGCCTTTTGTGATACTTTGAATTATCATCTCATTTTGTCATCATCATCATACTCTTATAGTGGTAATTATTGAAACAATTTATGAAACCAAATTGCCTTATTAATTTCAGTCAAATAAAAAAAGGAATACTTGCTTCATTAGATAATAAAATTTACATTTAATATCCAAGTTTTTCCCTGAATAAAATTCCTCTCAAGTATGCGTGAATCCTTGTATTAAAATAAACAATTTTAATTTTTCATGCTTTGATTTTTTAAAAATAATATCAAGTTCATTTAAATTAATACAGAAATCTATTTGACAATTTTTGCCAGCTCTGATATGAAAAAAATATTTTAATTGGTTAGTATAAGACTTCATTTTATATCTTAAAAAATTCATTGAGAAATTTAACTTGACAATTATCCAATATCCGCTTACAAAATCCAATGAAAATTTACAGAAATTACCATGTATTACAGTTATCTTTATAAATTTGTCAACCTCGTTTTAATTGGCAAAAAAAGTTTAAACTTACGCAGGTTTCTTTATCAGTAGTCTAGAGATAAAATCCTTGGCCACATCTGAGATGTTTTCAAATTCCTCGGCATCAAAATCCCAGTTGGCGCAGGTCACATTTGCCAGAGTATTACAATCATCTTCACCAAGGAACGGTGATAAACCAGAAAGTCTGGGGAAAAAAAAAGTTATACATTTTTCAAGAATGCTGATGCTAGAGAATAAAATCTGGTTAGAAGTTATTTTCACCCATTCACTGTCTACCCCCATCCCAGTTACAAACTTCTGTTCGGATGAAAAACAACTTTTTAAAACAATGTTAAAACTTCTATTTTTGTCATTCTCTTCTCAATCGTATGCAGACCATATACAAGTACGGCAATTGTTTTCCAAATATGCTTTTCAATAATCTAAATCTTTTTTTTTTTATTTGCTGTATCATGGCTCTCCACTTACCCCTATCCCTTGTAGCTCTCAATAAGTTTCGTCATCCTGGTCGAAATGTCGGTGACTAAACCGACTTACCCACTCCAAGTTCTTCCGAGTGAGGTAGCTTGTTAGCAAGCCAGTAGGATGAAAAACAAGACCTAATAAAAGGCAGAGGAACTCTGTCAACAGTCAGCTAACGAGGTGGTGTCTCCATAAACCACCGTGGAGAAGGCAACAGAAAACCACTCCACTATCCCAAGATATATCATGGCCAACAATCTAAATCACTTACTTGTATAAAAAAATTTTAAACTTTGTACATACTGACCATCTACTTATTTACAAGCACACCCATCAGCTAGGGTGGGTAGCCAATCCCTGTTGCAGACGTCTGCTCAGGTACATTTGTTTAACATGCACAGAGCCAACCTGTGGTTTATACTGCAATTATGCTGAGTGGACTAGTTATATATTGTACTAGCATAACTATTAAGAGAGATTGAATAGTTCCGTCTCCCTTGTTTCACTCACATGTATTGGGTCAATCCATGCTATGGTTTTCAGATATTTTTGCAAAGGTGACACACACTGTAATCACTTCCCCAAATTGATAACATTAAGAGGTCACCTTCCTAAGAAATTGACCATGGTGAAATTCTAGACCAGGGCTTATGGTCCGAGTGAAAATGTTCTAGCCCTGTGCCCATAATTTCAATTTTTAAACTTTCTATTTACTTACGTTAGTACAACACAAGATCAGAATTTCATTTCAAATTCATGTTCATTTTGAACCTAACTTTCTTATATGTTCATGCTGCTAGAGTTGCTTGTCATCGTCATCATTATCTTCATCTTCCTTTGATCTCTCCCTATGGCTGGTCAGAACTCCACTGACAATCTCTTTCCACACTGTTCGGTCTTGTATTGCTGTCCCCAGATCCCCAATGTCCAACCCTGAGACCTGAGACTATGGTGTCTGGGGAAAGTCAATTTTCATGAGAAGATACTTCCAGAAGGAGAGCTTTGATTAACATATTTCCTGACACACAATGCACATGTGTAACCAGACAACACTACACCCACCCCCAAGCCTTCCACTGACCGTCTAATGATCAACCCATGTTACATTCCAATTATCGATATGGTTGGCATGGATGAGAGAGGAAGAGAGAGAGAGTGAGAGTCAGAAGAAGAGAGAGAAAAAAAGGAAACAAAAATGTCAAGGTGAATATACTTTATACTTTAATAAATTTTATTTTATTTACCAAAATAAAGCATAAGTTGTTTTATATAGCAATTTATAATGGTGAAAAGAAAGATGTCAAGTTTTAGAAAGACGTATTTAACTGAATTTATTAATGTCATTATTATATGTTCTGCTATTTGCAATATACTCATCTTAGTCGTTATGCTCACAACATTTTGGTTGTTGTACCCTCTGGATTACTTCAGTTGTCTGTCTTAATATTTGCCTTTCTGTTCACACCAACATATTCATCTTGGTTGTTATGCTCACAACATTTTGGTTGTTGTACCCTCTGGATTACTTCAGTTGTCTGTCTTAATATTTGCCTTTCTGTTCACACCAACATATTCATCTTGGTTGTTATGCTCACAACATTTTGGTTGTTGTACCCTCTGGATTACTTCAGTTGTCTGTCTTAATATTTGCCTTTCTGTTCACACCAACATATTCATCTTGGTTGTTATGCTCACAACATTTTGGTTGTTGTACCCTCTGGATTACTTCAGTTGTCTGTCTTAATATTTGCCTTTCTGTTCACACCAACATATTCATCTTGGTTGTTATGCTCACAAGGTTTCAGTCATTGTACGCTCTGTACAACCAAGAAGTGCATGTTCAACAAATAGCAAAGCCTATAATAATGATACTTCCTCATTTCAAAATTTCTAAGTTAAGGTAAAATATAGAAGCATACTAAGATATCTGCTATTCTCAGGTCCCTGTCTAAATGTTAGATCCTCACTTGGTGTTCAATTACTGATATTTACTAAGCTTAGCTTTTCTGATACAAGGCCTCAAGTAAGGACAAAATTCACTTGGTCATATTGACTAGCTTGCTCAATACAGATTTGCATCAAGACAACAAATGTGTCCTGTTGTAATACTCTGCCAAATTATGGTCAATTTAAAATATTTTTGTACATTATTGTTCACGCAGTACAAGATACAAGAGCCATTCAAGTTAGAGGATTGTGGAATGAGGTTGGACTTAAGAAGAGGTAGTAAGAATTATAGATCATGTGGATATGCAGGATAAGTAGCAGTTGGCCATGGACTTGAAGAGGTTAAAATTATATTGGCTTGATAGAACATTCATATGTAATCAATGCAGAAATACAAGCTTAATTATTAATTCATTATATCTTCACATCATTATGTGGTATTAATGCCAGAATAGACATTGCACTCAAAATTTAAACTGGGCTGCAGAAGTATGTGACCTGTGTCTGGAATTGTTAGCATGAGAACATGTTGAACACAGGGATATATAAATAACTGACCCAGAGATGATTTGAATCTGTCTTTCAGATACATCACAAGCAGAATTAAAGGTCCATGTATTGGACTCGGTTCGACATGGCTTGTACTTGCTGAGAGTAACTGACAAAATATTGAAGTGAATAAAATGTTAAGGAATGAAGTTTCAAGTCTCATTTTATCCTATCCACTTCACTATAATAATTTGCTGCATCAAAACAGAGTGAAGAAAAATTATGGTCTCTTTATTAAATTCTACCCACGATATCATAAAATAGATATCTATTAATATCTACATATTAACACAACTTTGGCACTTGTGGTGATCTCATAGGTAGGCAACATAATCATATGGGCCAATGTGAACAAAACTGTGTGCTCTTTTAGCAACACTGTTTGACTGAGGCAATTATCTCATAGTCATCTAGGAAATTTTGGTTAAGTCACATACAGTGATGAATGGGTTAATCTGATCAACACAAGCAAAAATTACCAATGTTCTGAAGTATCAAAACATCATCTATTTTCTTTCCTGCAATCAACACTCTCATTGCTATACAGATTCTTCTTCTTGTGTGTGCCATGCCCAGAGACAAAGGAAAACAGCACATAATATACCTAATGAGATTGTATAAAGGATGGCAGAACAGGGTTTAGGAGAGACAGCAAAAAGACAACATTTACTATGGCCTGTCAGTGTCAAATTTTACAAGTCCTCTTTACTCATTATCTGCCTTAGTAATTTCAGCTGTCTCTATCTGATGTTAAGCATAAGTGTCCTTTTCCTTTTCATTTTCTCTAAAACTTCATTGTTGCTCAAATATTCAGTCCATGGCATTCTCAGTATCTTTCTGTAGAACCCCATTTCTGTTACTTCAAGTCTTTTCTTCATCTTTGAGGAAATTGTCCAGTATGCACTATCATATAAGAGGATAGATATTACATAACAGTTCAGTACTCTTTTCTTCGTTTCTAATAAAATTTAATACTTTGCTTAAGTTTTGGAAGGTAACTTTTGCTGTCCAAATGTGCCTTTAGATTTTGATGGTGCATTTTCCATCCTCCATTAAAGCAATTACCAGAAGTTTTTATTATTAAATTCATCTAACAATAATTTAGGTCATCTGATGGCGTCAGATCACTCCAGCATTCATAACTACAATTGTTAATAACTCACTAATTAGACCATTTTCTTCATACACTGAAGTTGAAGACAATTCACTGGATCTGTTTATATTGTTGAAATTCCATAAATATTAACCTTCCAATTAAATAAGATTTAGGAGAAAATGTGGTAATATGCTTACAATACATATGTAATGACTCCGACACTCCACATATCTGTTGCTGGAGATATAGGTTCAAAGTTGACTACTTCTGGTGCGATGAACTCTGGTGTGCCAAAGAGAACCCGTAAATCAGCTTTAGGATCATACTTTCGAGCTAGTCCAAAATCAATAATTTTTATTCGATTCCCTGTTCTGGTCATACATAATATATTTTCAGGCTGGAAAAGAAAGCAAAAAATGAAAAGAATATATCAGATTTGTTCAACATAACCATGTATAAAATTCTAACAAATAATTTGCATCACTTAAAAAGATTCCTCTAAGCGTAATAACCAATGAACATAGAATCACGTCGATGTTGTAAGAATGAAAATAAGTCTCTATTATGGTAACATTATTAGTGTGTAAATTACTCTTGAATAGTTTGTAACATGTTTATTTATCATCACTCAGTTGCATCTCTGTCTTTGGGCAGAGTGTACTCAGGGGCGGCTCTGTTGAAGAACAGTCGCAACTGAGGGAAATTACACTGAAAGGTGCCCGGCCCAGGGGAACAGCTGCCTGAGGCTGTGCCCTCTCATTGCATCAGAAAGAGGAATCAGTGCTCACTCCAAGGCCAGCAGAACCGATGGTTGTGGAGGGCTCAGGGAATTTTTGTTTCTAGCCTGGGTGTACGTACTTGGGCTCCCTGCTTTAAACCGACCTTGTGTATAAAAGTAGCCCTTCTCCTAGGTTGGTTGCTCATTCTGCTCTGCTATTTGCGCCGTAGCTGGTGAGATGGACAGAGAACAGGTGAACTTATATCTTTCCCAAGGTATTTGTGCAAAAATGAATATAACAAACTCGGCTGGGATTAGCTTGCCAATTTCTTGTTTTGAGTCAGTAACCATTACACCAGCTGCACATCCAAGACAATTTTCTTCAAAATAAAACTAGTTAAAAAATATAGCATTAAAATAAACTTGTATTTGTAAATGAAGTGATTACCATTTTTTTTTTAAATCACTAAATAAACTGATGGTTTAATAGATTTTGTGAATTCAAATATCTAGCTCACCCACTAAAGATCAAACTCACTACATGAATAAGAGAATGAATATATATATATATATATATATATATATATATATATCATTTGTGTATATATATATATATATCATTTGTATGTATATTTATATATATATATATATATATCTCATTTATATATATATATATATATATATCTCATTTATATATATATCCATATCTATATATATATATATATATCTCATTTATATATATATCATATATCTATATATCTCATTTATATATATATCCATATCTATATATATATATCTCATTTATATATATATATATATCTATATATCTCATTTATATATATATCCATATCTATATATATATATATATATATCATTTATATATATATATATATATATCTATATATCTCATTTATATATATATCCATATCTATATATATATATATATCTCATTTATATATATATCTATATATATATATATTTATATATATATATATATATATATATATATATCTCATTTATATATATCTATATCTATATATCTTTTTATATATATATATATATATATATATATATCTCATTTATATATATATTCATATATATATATCTCATCTATCTATATCTCATATATATATATATAGAAAAAATTATGATCATCGAATATTGTATGATCTGCTTTAGTTATGTGTACAACTAAAGCATTGTTAAATTTTATCTCGTTTATGTTCGAAAACACGAGATTTTACGGACCTACATGTTTCACCCACATATTTTAGGTCACAGTTTTTGCATATTTGATAGATGCAAGCATCGGATGAAATATATTTATCTGCTGGTGCTATTTAATAAACTACGGATAGTCCTAGTAGGTAATATAGTAGTTCTAATTTTTTTGCATTTAAATAATCATAATTTTGATTTCGACTCCGTGAAGGTTTAAAATATTTTCATAAAAAATCTCAGGAGGATTTATGAAGCAGGTATAATATCCATCTCACGCACGGTGAATACTAGACCTGGTTTCTTTAATATTTCCCCTTTTTAGCGAGATTAATGCTCGACAAGCATACACATAAAATTTTAGATCCTAATAGAATTCTTTTCATTTTCTTTTCATTCAAAATAATCAAAATTTTAGGAATACGTTTTGAAAGCGTCGCCCATGTGACGACAACGTGACCATGCTAAACGGAAAGCTGATCATTTTAAAAATTTTCAGTTATCTGTTTTGGATAAGACTTGTTTATGTCCATCGTCTTTGTCAAATTGAACTGAATTGTATTTTAATGAATAGTGTCTTGAAAAAGGTTTATTAAACCGAAACGTCAGACGTCGACATTTCATTCATTTTAAACAACATAATTGCATTTAAGAATTTTTGTTTTGTTTTTTCCAAATTTTCTTCATTCTGTCGGATCTATATCCATTTACATTTGCTTACATATATATATTTTATTAAAGACATTTTATTTATGTTTAACATTGTTATTTTTTATAGATACAAGTATTAAGCAAATGCTCTGTTTAAGATAAACAGTATTAATTTTACCGGCCTGAATGTCCGAGAAATTTTCATAGAAAATATTCGTTCATAGACAGGATTTGGAACTGTTTGACATGCCTTTTGAACCTTATGGTATACAAATTTAAACTACAATTTCCATGAATCATTCTTTTATTCGTTTAACGATCTAAGATAAACAGTATTAAATAACATTTACCGCCTGAATGTCCGAGAAATTTCCATAGAAAATATTCGTTCATAGACAGGATTCGAACCTGCATCCTTGTCTACCATAAGGTTCATATGGTGGTTAAGGCATGTCAGCGTATATGACAGTTCCGTATAGGATGCAGGTTCGATTTAATACTGTTTATCTTAAACATATATATATATATATCTTTAATAAATAAATTATCGGACCTCCATTTCTATACATATATATATATATATATATATATTTATATATATATATATATATATATATATATATATATCTCATTTATATATATATATTTATATATATATATATATATATATATATATAAGCAAGTGTAAATGGATATAAATCCGACAGAATGAATTTTGATGAATATTGTCTTGAAAAAGGTTTAATAAACCGAAATGTCAGACGTCGACATTTCTTTCATTTAACTACATTTAAGGATTTTTTTGTTTGTTTTTTTTCAAATTTCTTATATATATATATATATATATATATATATCTCATTTATATATATCTATATGTAAGCAAATATATGGATATAAATCCGACAGTATGAAGAAAAATATATACGGAAAAAAGAAACAAAAATCCTTATATACAATTATGATGTTTTAATGTTAATATGTCAACGTCGGACGTTTCGGTCTAATAAACCATCTTCAGGACATATTCATAAATTATAACATTATCAATACAACATGACAAAGACGATGTACATAAGAAAAAGACTTATCCAAACAGAATAACTGAAAGTTTTAAGATCAGCGCTCCATTTAAAACATGGTCACGTTGTCGTCACGTGAGCGACGCTGTGAAAACGTATTCCTAAAATTTGAGTATTTTGATGAAAAATGAAAAGAATTCTATTTTGATCTAAAATTTATATGTACGCTTGTCGAGCATTAATCTCACTAGAAAAGGGGAAATACTAAAGAAGCCAGGTCTAGTATTCACCGTGCGTGAGACAGATATTATGCCTGCTTCATAAATCTGCCTAAGATTTTTATTATGAAAATATTTTAAAATCTTCATGGAATCAAAATTGAAATTATGATCTGCTTTAGTTGTGTGTACAACTATAGCATTGTTTAAATTTCCGAGGCGAATATCTCGTTTATTATGTCTTTCTGTTAAATTAAAACAGCATAATTGTATATAAGGATCTTTGTTTGTTTTTTCCGTATATATTTTTCTTCATATATATATATATATATATATATATATATATATATATATATATATATATATATATTATATATATATATATATATACTTTCCCTGACGATCCGTTTAGGTGAAACCTAGGTAGGTTTGTCTGGCTCACTAGGTGTATCTAGGTCTGCTCTACGATTGTATTGAGCGCTTTTGTTAGTTAGTTGTTTACTCGTATCGGGGTTTTTTCTTTGGGCTTCAGACCTGCATCTGTGCGATTTTTTGTCGACAGAAGTTCATGTTTGTAGCTCTTTCTTTTTTTAAAACCTTTTTTTCCCTGGAGATTGATTTGATTATTAGCAAATCAAAAATTCGAGGGATTTCGAAACAAGTCTAGTTATCTATAATTATATGTATGTATGTATATATATATATATATATATACATATATATTATTGTATAAGTATTATTATGTATATAAGTGGACATTGAAGTCAGTACTCAGGGCAACAGTCTGTTTCATGCTAAATGCAATCTTCAGGCCATGTGTGTTTTTGCTCTACTGTTTATATATACAGGTCAGTGATGCATTGTGGGTAGTCTATTGTATTATTGTAGCAGTTATTTTGGTGGGCAGTAATGGTTGTGCTCTGAATTATTCTAGGGGCTATTGATTGGGAATAATTGTGGGTTCAAATGCAGTTTGGGGGCCATTTATATTGTTGCTTGTTAACTTTTTTTTTTATTATTGTATATTTATATTATTGGTTGTTATTAATACATTTTCTTGTGTTTATCTGTGCATTCAGGGTTTGTTAATTTGTTTATTATTTACTTAGTTCATTTATTTGTTTGGGTTAATTTATTTTATTTATTTTTGTTTATTTATTTTATTACAAATAAATGAAAATAAATAAATGTAAAATAAATTATTATAAAACATGGCCATTTACCATAAGTCTGGAAGGAGAAATAACATGTGGTTACATCAAATAACATGTAGTTACACCAATGTCTAGTTTAATGCTACATCATGCAAAATTTTAATAGGTAATGATGAAAAAATATTAAAGCTGGATATGCCCAATGTTATCGTCAGTGAATCATTGTCGGGCAAGAGAACGAAACATGGAAATGGTAACAAGTACTTACTTTCATATCAAGATGTAAGATATTTTTGGAGTGAATGAAATCAACTCCTTCGCAGATCTGACGCAGGAAAATCACACATGCTCTTTCTGTCAGCACGAAATCTTCATTAATTACACGTTCGAACAGTTCGCCTCCAGATATTCTGAAAATAAAGTCAGGCAATTATTGCTTTAAAATTCACTCATTTATTCAGTTAGTGCATTTTGCATTGCTTGCTGTGGTCACCACTCTCCTCCATCTCACAATTGTGGCTTATGGTGACACTCAAGGAAGAATAATACAATAGCTTGCAACAGAGATGTTGAAGTTACTCCACCCCTCCTCTTAGAAGCTAAAGAGGCAAGACCTACAAGTTAGCAGTGATTTGAATTCAGAGTTTTCCTTCTCCTAGACTAGCAACGGTATATAGAGGCCATGTGCTGCCCAGACTACATGCAACCCCCCCCCACCAAATCCACTCTTGGCCACACCGACAAGATCCCAAAAAATACAGGGCATTACATTTGGGAATAGCTTGGCTGCAGGAGATGTCAGAAAGTTACCAGTGTTGACAGCTAACTGCCTTCCAGGATCCACTCTGGATTTTCTGTCTGGATTCATCGGGATTGTCGTGAGCAAGATACATGAGATCATACCCCAAAATTCCCACGCGTTGCATGCGTATGGTAGCAGACCAGTTGGAGGAAGGGAGAATTGGTGGAGTGCGCCTATGTATATGTAAAACTCTCCCACTCAACCAATCAGCTGCTTCATCATGGTCTATAAAATGAGTGTGTCTAGAGGCTTTGGCAATGGGGGCTGAGGGAGCCAATGAGATGACCTCCCTGTATGAGAGACGACTGCTTTGTTCCTGCAGGTCCTTTTTGGCGTGACGGCTACATTTATATCCATAGCCTTTTCTGTGTTTTGGATATGACCACAAGGCAGCAGAGGTTTAAAATCAGATTTTTTCTTCTCCTTGATAGGATGTCTTCCTGGGCTGTCAAGCTCCAGATGCCCAAAGCAGCTAGATATGAGATGCCAGTTTTCCACCATCGCCTATTCTCTGGCTTGGAGCTGGACTTATTTGTCAGAGGCTATTTGAGACGCATGCCACGGAAGCATTTTATAGACAATGGAAGCTTGTTTCCACTATCACCCTTTTATAATGACCTTTCAGAATCCGTCTATATTTCTGAGATGTGGTATTATGTACACTATTTAAATTATTCGGACTATTGTCCTCATCTTTGTTGTCATATTTATCACAACGTTTCGGCCCTTCAGTATCTGTCTATATTTCTGAGATGAGGTATTATGTACACTATTTACATTATTCAGACTATTGTCCTCATCCTTGTTGCCATATTTATCACAACGTTTCGGCCTTTCAGTATCTGTCTATATTTCTGAGATGAGGTATTATGTACACTATTTACATTATTCAGACTATTGTCCTCATCTTTGTTGTCATATTTATCACAATGTTTCGGCCCTTCAGTATCCGTCTATATTTCTGAGATGAAGTATTATGTACACTATTTACATTATTCAGACTATTGTCCTCATCTTTGTCGCCATATTTATTACAACATTTCGGCCCTTCAGTATCTGTCTATATTTCTGAGATGAGGTATTATGTACACAATTTACATTATTCGGACTATTGTCCTCATCTTTGTTGTCATATTTATCACAACGTTTCGGCCCTTCAGTATCTGTCTATATTTCTGAGATGAGGTATTATGTACACTATTTACATTATTCAGACTATTGTCCTCATCTTTGTCGCCATATTTATTACAACGTTTCGGCCGTTGTACGTTCCGGCCTTCTTCAGGTGGTTGGAATGTCGAACTGAACCCTTTATTTCGCTCGCTGGGGTAGACTGTTCTAGTTCCACGTGCAATGTTTAATGGATGTCAGTTATCAGTTATCTCCTGTTGATTCCCCTCTGAAAGAACTGAAAGTTCTCCACTGCCTCACGTGGCACAGTGGATAAAGGCGTTAGTTAGATCCAGTGACAGGACCCAAAGAGTGTGAGTTCAATACCCGGTTAAGCCAGTGAAGAACTTTCAGAGGGGAATTAACAGGAGCTTTTAAAATCTATTACAAAGAAAACATTATAATAGAATCTACTGTAATGTTTTTCATCTGACTGAATGTCCAAAAATATTTTATCACACATTAGTAAATATGTCAAATAATGCAGTATTCCCCGAATATCTTTATAGCTAATTTTTTTATCCAAACATTTCGGTTAATATATTATTAGGTTTTCAATTGGTATATAGTTAATACAGTTAGGTTTTGTATATTTTACATCAATGTCATATGTCAGAGATGGACTATGCTGCTGTGAAAAGCGGAAGAAGAAATCAGTCGGAAAAAGCACATCATATTGAAATTTTAATTCGTATTTTGAATTAAAATGAAGTTCTGTTTCTTTTATGGTAATTTACCCATGCATACATGGACTCTCCCAGCTATAAATAGGAGCAGGTACTGCCTTTTGGAGGGGTGAAGTTTCCAGTAGTCATCTCTGGCAATCGGACCAAACATTCTTGTTGTAACCCTCTCGTTTGTATGACTGTTTCTGTTAATATATTTGTTTAACTCAATTCCTCTTTTGTGTCTTTATTTCTTACCCTAACAAGGCCACAACAGTTTATAACAGTTTTCCCTGACAAAAATAACAGAGACAGTTACGAACTAGGTAAGAATTACAGAAGTGTATGAAAATTAAAATCGCTTTCTCGTTTTTGGAAGATATGACATAAAAATGAAGATGCAGAAAGAACTAATTAATGCTCTATAAATCTATGGATAACATCTTAATTCCGAAAATGCAACATGCACAAAACACAAACTGCTATGAAAGATACAAAATTTAAGATTTCATTTGAAAATTTTTAACATCTAGCTGAGCATAAAGCAACATTTTGGCAAACGTCTTAAAGAAATTACTTTTGACAAAAAGACATTAATGGTTGTCTCGCTGTTCTTACTGGCATTATTTTACTATTGCACTTGTTCCATCCCTGACTTTTATTTTATGCTATTTCAGTAGTCAACTGGCCAATAACAGTGAAGTAGCATCCTGGGTACAACGATAAACTACGTCCAACAGCAAGACCTCTGATAATACATTTTCAAAAAAAATAATGTTGCCAGCTGTACGTTTTTGAAAAAAAAATACTAGCTATAAATGGATGTAATCTGGAAATCTGATCCAAAAGACAACCACAAACAGAAATTCTTTCAAGTCACTGTATAAGTGGTTTTAATGTATGGTGCCATTGCCTGGACATTAATTAAAACCCTAGAGTAAGTTTGATGGACCCTACACTTGGATGCTGAGAGCTATACTTAACATCTCTTGGAGACAACATCCAACTAAATTACAACTCTATAGAATCATCCATGATATTTCTACAATCTTATGTGAACACAGAATGCACTTTGCAGGACACTGCTGGTGAGCAAAACAAGAACTTACAAGTGATATACTGTTCTGGACACAAAGCCATGGAGCAAGACAGGTTAGTTACCCAGCAACCACCTACATTGAACAGTTACAGTATGACACTGAATGCCATCCTAATGGTCTTGATGCAGGACTCTGATGGTTGGCGTGATAGACTCATGAATATCTGAGCTAGCAGAACTGAATAATAATACAATGTGGGAATAATAATTTCTTTAATAATAATATAAAAATAACACTGTTAAAAAAACTTCTTTCATTTTTTTAAATTTTAAAAGTTAAAAAGTTTGAAATTACATTATTATATATAATGATATTGAAATATATAATATTTATTAATTAAAGAATATCAAACACTTAAAATGCCATAGGTAATAATTTTTATTTAATGCAGCTCTCAATCTTTAATTAATAATCATTTTGCTCTGTCTTTTGACATAGAGCTCTCCCTGGATCTATATCCTCCTGGAAATTCCATATGGATTAACTTATTGAATCATTACTATACACACACACACACACACACACATATATATATGTGCATGGCCTGACGATTGCATTTAGCATGAAACAGACTATTGCCTTAGGGTGGTGACTTGAATGTCCACTTTTATATTTACATACACTCTGTCCCTGATTTGAGCACTTTAACCCATAAATATAGCATACCTTAAAACTCTATTTTATCATATATATATATATATAGAGAGAGAGAGAGAGAGAGAGGGAGAGAGAGTGAGAAATAGATAGAGAGAGAAAGGGAGATGGATGCACATTATGGCTTACATGTTTAGATTGCTTGTACTGCTAGCATCCTAGTCATCACTTCACATCAGGCCATCTTGTCAGATAATGATGTAACATGATCGTAAACTTCGATTTTATCAATTAAAAATGTTTACACAGCTGTTGGCTCTAAAATTTTAAAGCAACCAGACCAGAAATCTTGATTCAACTTCATGACATCTAACTTCAACGATTGTCCCTCTTGACTAACTCCTGATGTCGCAAGTTCATATACCCATAATGAAATCATGATATGCTTAAAACTTGCATATTTGCAACTTACATAACAGCTGTTTTCCTTACATGTAGATAAACATTAAAATCTCTCCAGTAAAAAATTTAAAAATGAAGCCTGGATTTTCCAAAATTATGTATTATGATCATTCTATTGAAATTAATTGGATTAGGTTATTCTCCTCATTTTTGTTGTTATTTATACAAGATTTTGGCCATTGCACACTCCGGTCTTCATCAGTTGCTTGTTGATCTGGGTAACCTCCAGGGAACTTTGAACTGAACTCTTTGTTTAATTTATGTGGGCAGATTATTCTAATCCATAGGTGTTATGGTCCAAGTTCTTTGTACCACGGTGATGGTCCAATGTTAGAACCAATGAAAGAATAACATGAACACAGGTATGGATTACAAAGATATATTACAACAGAAATATAATACAAAGAAGTAGAAGTATTAGTAATTACTATCAGATTTGGTTAGAGTGAACTATGTTGTCTCGTCAAGTATCACTATTTCAATGTCCTTACAATATGCTCTCAATTATCTCTCCTTGTCTTACAACATCCTCATACCTCTTGAGAGGCGCAGTATTTATAATGTCAGGAATAGTCCATTATTATTATGGGTAAATTCCCATAACACATAGGACAATATTCTGTAGGATTTAAGTGTTGGTTTGTAAATTTGATCACATAGTTATTTTGGGATGGGCAGAGTGAAACGAGGTGAGCAATAACCAAGCAGTGCTAAAGAACTAAATGAGATATCCCTAGAGATGGTCAGTAGAACGAGAACAATCTAAACCCATAGGTTAAATAAATGGTTTAGTTCAAAATTCCCTGGAGGTTACCTGGCTTGACAAACACCTGATGAAAGCTAGCACATACAATGGCCGAAACGTTGTGATACCCTCATCATTAATGGAGAAAAGTGATAACAACTGTTGGGCTTGAGAAACCTTTTTTTCTGAAAAATTATTTAAATAAAAAGATTTTATGAATTTCAACTGAAAATAGCACTGGCGGATCGGTCAATGAATGCCAAATGTTTCCTCATAAGGAAACAGTTAACATTACCATTACAATCAGTTATGGTGTTGGAACTCTTCATTATGTTATAAAGATATCAGTCTAATGTAGGTTTAATGACAAAAGTATGTAAGTGTAGGCTTTAAGAAAGCTTTATTCAGCTGAGAATACAAAGTTCGCATATATTGTCCTTTTATAGGCCCAGTAAACAGAAATAGCGCTCTCAAAGAACAAAGGGAGACCACTCTTTATTATTCCAACAAATATTCTCTAAAACATAAGCATAGAAAATGAAGAAATGCCCAAAACTTAATAAATACAGTTTTATCCAAACATTTATGTTATTTATGTTATGTTAGATTAAGAGGAAAAACAAAGGATTGTTTATGTAATTTTTTTTTTCAAATATTTATTAGAACATTCAAAATTTTGGTTAGAAATCTCGTTTCTCTGTCATCAAGGTGAGGCCATAAATTAGTATAGGAAATTTGAGTATCTTTTTGTGGTGAAAAAATCTGATTTGGAAATTCTTGAAAAAAAATCAGGTAATTTTCAGATGTTAAATAAACATTCAGGACTTACTCATAAATCAATGAAAATTATTGTTAAAATGTTTCTCTTTTAGAGAAAAACTTGGTAAAAGTATTTTTGTTTTACATTTCTTACCCAATAATTAATTTTATGAAATTTCAAGATATTCTTTTTCTAGCTTTTAATATTTAATGTATTAGTTACAAGGACAAGTCCTAGGAGAATTTAAGAATTTTTTTGGTCAAACTGGACCCCCAGTTACAAAAAAATCTGCTCTGAATCAGAAAATAAAAAATGCAATAAAACAAAGGCCTTGTTTAATGATAAAAGCTTTTAATTGCTTTAAGATACATTATGGATACTATTGTCTTAAAAAAAATTTTTTTGATGAATAATGAATTTTTACAAGAAAAATTCATTTTTTTGTTTTAATTTTTAATTAGAATAATTTATGAAGTTTTAAATCTGTTAAAATTCTGTCTTAATTTGTAGTGGTTAGGTGGTATTGTTATTAAGTAAAACCTATATTTACTAATAATAGAAAAGCTTAATTATTCCCACCCCAGTATTTTAAAAAGAATTTTGAACATTTTTTTTATGTGTATAAATGTGCTGATTTTTGTAAATACATGACATTATCAGAAAATAGGAGTGGCAACTATAGTAAGTTTAAAGCCAAAGTACAAAATTTTTTTTCTTTTTACTTCTTTTTTTTCTTTTTTTCTTTTTTTTTTCTTTTTTTTTTTTTTTTTTTTGTAAAATAGGACCCCCAGTTACAGAAAATCTGTTCTGAATCAGAAAATAAAAAATACAAAAAAACAAAGACCTTGTTTAATGATAAAAGCTTTTAATTGCTTTTATGAATAAAATACATTATGGATACTATTGTCTTAAGAAAAAAAAATTAATGAATTTTTACAAGAATTGTTTTCATTTTTAAAAAATTTTAATTAGAATAATTAATAAACTTTTAAATCTTCTAAATTTCTGTATTAATTTGTAGTGATATGGTCATTAAATATAAACTATATTTACTAATCATAAATGGAAAATATTACAATTCAGTAACCCCCAGTATTTTAAAAAGAATTCTAATTTTTTGTGTGTGTATGTGTGTGTATTTTTGCAAATACAAACATTCATAGACAAAATTACCAGAAAATAAGAGCAGTAACTCTATTAACTTTAAAATTTATTAGTATTTTTCTAACATTTCCTCATCAGTTATCTTCATAAGTAAATCTATAAATCTGAAGAACTTAAAATACAATAAAATATTAGAATGTTTAAATATCTAACATTTTTAAGATTATTGAGTAGCTAAAAGATTATCTAAAAAAGACATTTATGCTGTATTCCTCATGAAATTTTACTGCAAGTATTTCACCTTACATAAATCTCATAAATGTCAAGTTATCAACAGATGCGTCATACACATAATAAAAACAGCGAAAGTTTTAAACTTGAAAGAAGTAATATTTTTTTTAATTCAGATTAATTAAACTTTCAATCAGTTAATCTTCCTCAAATAAAGCTTTTAGTCAAAAGCACAGATCAGAAATGGTAGCCATATATTTTATATAGTGAAATTCATGATAACATTACAACTTTCTGGGTTGTGTTTTCTCAAATCAAATAAGCGGTAGATTTCAAAGATTGAAAGGTACTCACAATTCCAAAACAAGACAAAATTTATCTCTTCTTTCATAGGCATCATAGAGTTGAAGCAGTCGAGGATGCTGAAGGGATTTCATGATTTCAATCTCATTCCGGATATCCTTCCGGCCCTGAGACCCATGAACACTGACAAATTTGGCAGCAAATTTCCGGGTTGTTGAATATTCCAAACATTGCTTGACTTCTCCAAATTTGCCTCTGATGGAAAAAGGAGAGAAAGAAAACAGAGAAATAATGTAATAGAAGCTGAAGTTTTTAATTGTAATACAAAGAATATTTACAACTTTTTGCATCAACAATACACAACAGAGAAATTCACAAAGTTGATATAGAATTTAAAAAATTTTTTTTATTAAAGTCAAACTAGAATGTGGAAGATCTACTGACCATGTTTCCGAACATTAGGGGATAAATTCAGATATAATATTACCTAAAGAAAATTTTAATTAATTTTAAAGTAACTCTTTAATTACATTAACAATTTTAACAAATTTATTTTAAGATCTAATAGAACAGTATTTATGAATAATTTAAAGGCTTACAGTCATATCATGTTGAAACATCAGTTCTCGTACGATCACCAAAGTTAAGCAATATCAAGCCTTGTCAGTACCTAGATAGGTGACCACTTGGGAATACCAAGTGTTGTACACTTAGATATGTGGGTGTCATAATGGATAATGGCTCAGAAAATCAGTGAGCCAAATTCCAATTCCAGTTGTGTTCATTATATTTATTTGAAAATACTCTTGGCAAAGGTATGAAAGCCACCTCCTCTCCCTCCAGCTATGGGTTAATTAGTATGTTTTGTATCAGTAAATCATTATTATCTAAAAGAAAAAAAGAATTCTTAAAATCTAAAAATATTTCTGGCTTTAAATAACCTGAAAAGCTGTAGAAAAAATGAATGAATCTGTCAATATTTTAAACTGCATAATATTTTTATGAAAGAGGACCTTGAGAAGTTTTTCAGTACCTTCTCCTTGCATATGTATGTAGGTGAGTGAGTGAGCAAGAAAGAGGGATGATTCAAAAGTAATGCCTTTTATCTATTTCCATTGAAATGAGAACAAATGCAGAGAAAACAATGCTAGTTTTCAACCAAAAAACACTATTTTTTTACATAACCATCATCACTGGCTATGCATTTTCACCAGCAATGAGTAAGATCTAAACCAGCAGATGCACTCCACTTTTTCACACTCAGTCGAACAGATGCAAATCACTGTCACCACTGCTAAAATGGATTGTCTGGTCTCCATAATGTTCCACAAGAGTTAATGAATGTAAAGTATGAAGGAATTTGCTAACATGCCTCTGCTTCGTTTGCACTTTCGTATCAGACACCATTTTGTCAGCTTGCTGTCCAGTTGATATCAGTACCAAATTCTACCAAATTAGCTGTCATTGGTAGGAACATCCAAACTTTATTGACACACCACCTAAATTCTCCTATAAACATCATGGGCCAGCATGATGTAACAGAAGACATTACTTTCAGAGCAATCCGCATATGGTGGACTCTCCCATTGTATTCGACGCATGAGGGTCAAACATCTCAGGAATTGACTGCCAGACACAAGAACATATGATTTGATGATAGTGGTGAAGGCTTTGTGCAGAACCAACCAATCTTTTTGAAGGACTGAATACATAGTGCCACAAGGCCTCCAAATGACCCTCCGCAGGTTTTGAATTCAGAGTTGTCCTTCTTTTAGACCAAGTGCCATCCAAGGCTAAAGAACCAATTCTGTCCTGCTATTTACCCATAGCTGGTGAGAGAAGAAGAGGATTAATACTTTTCCCAATGGTATTAGCACATAAGTGAATGTAACAGATTCGACTGGATTTCAAACTCAACCCTCCCATTCCTCAATCCAAGCCACTATATATATATATATATATATATATATATATATATATATATATGTATGTATTTTTGGACATTTTTTATTTTTATACATTCTTTCTATAGATACAAATATTTAAATAAATGCTCTATTTATAATAAACAATATTAGTGACATTTACCAGCCTGAATGTCCGAGAAATTTTCATAAAAAATATGCATCCTCCGACAGGAATCAAACCTGTATCCTATATGGAACTGTCATATGGCTCAATCGGTAAAAGCATGTCAGGTTATATGATGGTTCCGTATAGGATACAAGTTCGATTCCTGTCAGAGGATGCATATTTTCTATGAAAATTTCTCGGACATTCAGGCTGGTAAATGTCATTAATACTGTTTATCATAAACAGAGCATTTACTTAAATATTTGTAACTATAAAAAGAACGTATGAACATAAAAAATGTCTTAAAATAATTGTAGGACTTTTGTCCATTTCATAATATATATATATATATATATATATATATATATATATAAATGAAAACACAGTGTGGACATAGAAATCAGTACTATTTAGTGACTGTCAGTCCCATACCAGCTGCAACCATCAAGCCATGAATTACTTTTGTTTGTGTGGGTTCTATATATATATATATATATATATAGAGAGAGAGAGAGGCTACTAGGGGCTTATGAGAATAGAGTAAGGGGAAATCTTCAAAAAGTACATGTCAGCTATTCAAGAAAACAAACAGTAACCCACTTTATATTCCAATTTAATCTAACCAAATGCATATCATAATCAAGCAAACCCTACAATCAATTAGCTCTAGATTATCCAACAGTACGTCACCCAAAAAACATTCCAATGAAGCCAAAAAATGAAAAAGCACTAAAAGCTGTGGTTATTTGGCAAAAGTAACATTTACGCAAAATAGAATAAAAATTAAACAGAAAAGAAGCATCATATAGTTCAACTTTCTGTATGATAAAAATGTAAAAGTGAATATAAATAAAATATTCAAACACATCGACAAATACTTCATATTATTAAGTAAATTACAGAAAATATTCAACAGAAATACTTTAAATATTAACATGGAAAATATACTCCAAAAAAAGTGTACACCGTGCTTTTGTGGGTGTTTGTGGTAAAATGTAAAACATCACTATGCCTACTATATGGAAAATTTCTACAAAACAATGTAATATACGAAGCTACTGTAAGATCCAAAAGAACACCAAAAATAAATGAATAACAGAGAAGCTACACACAAAACATAATTTAATAACAAAAAATTTTCAAATAGCACAACACTCTCAAAACACATAAAAAATTCACCAAAATAAATGAAAACATGTCAAAATAACATGGAAGATAAGAAAAACAGCTCCAACTAGCAAAAATACCATAAATCTTTTCCTAGAAGTGAAATATTTACCTTTTCAAAACAATATGAACTCAAAAACAAAATATTAAAGTGAATTTCCAAATGCAGACACAAAAAGAAATTCATACTATATTAACTAGAACCCCATCATAATTCAAAAACTCTCTAATAAACTTAATTTTAAATGACAAACTTTAGAACTGAGGAAAGTATAAATAAAATAAACAGACTCAATGTCAGGATTATAAATAATTGAAAATATTAACCCTAATTTCCATAAGCCCCCAGCAGCCTATATACAGAACCCACACAAAAAGGAACAACACATAAAAATGCCATTCACTATACAGTGTTGATTTTTATGTCCACGTGTCATTGTTCATATCTACAGAAGCTCTTTCCCCCCATTCTTTTCCTGCTATTTACACGTGTTGCAGCATGAAAGAAACAACCTTATATTAAAAAATATGACTTACTTTCCAAGTAAAATGTCTGATATTTCATAATTATCTGTCACCCAACAATCTTTTTTTATGATTATATTTGTTGTTTCAAACAGGCATTCAAGCTCTGAAAATGAATAATAATAATAATAATAATAATAATAATAACAACAACAATAATAATAATAATAAAAAAATAACAACAACAACAATAATAATAATAATAAAAACATTCATCATAGCATAAGTGAATGCAACAAATTAGCTCAAAAAATGCAAAGACATGAATGAGTAGAAAAGGTGATCTAAGAGAAAGTGTGCAAATGACTAGGATTGGACAATGCAAATCAATTATAAGCAAATATTCATAGCATTCTTTATGGAAATATAGTAACTGAATAGATAGAAGAAAACCGTTTTTTTTCCCTTGAAACTTATGCATACACCTAATACATGTACTAGAGCAGCAGTCACCAACCTTTTGAACTTCATGGATCACTAAATGTATAATTTTAAATTTGGCCAACCACTAATATAAATTTAGAAAAAAAAGGTAAATATATTTATATAATAATAATAATAGTTGGAAAACTTTTATTTTATTAATATAAAATGCACCCATTAATGGTAACAAAGTTATAGTGTAATTATTTGAATAAAACAAATTGAAAATTTGAAGTTTATTCAAATATTACACATTTCTAGTGTTCCTGTTTGTGGATTTTTGGCTCCAATGACATCGCTGCAAGATGAAGAGCTGTGTTTATTTAAAGCCGAGACTGGTACTGAGTTTTAATTGCTCTGACAGAGGAAAATGTTTTTTCGCACATATATGGAAATTGAATCAAAATTTTCATTGCATTTTTATGGAGTGATGAGTATTCATTTTTTATAGAGTGCTAAAAATGAGGTCTTGATAAGGATGACAGGAATTTAGCTTTGAGACTGTGGTCACAAGATAGATCAATAAGGCTTTCTTTTTCATTCATGCTTAAATTGTTATCTTCAGTGTTTGCCACAAATAGATTTATTATCCACATATTTCCATGCCTAGGGTCTTCTTTGGGTAATAAAAACCAAAATTTTCATCAGTGACTGTAAGTGCTGTTGAGCAATGGATACCACTTGCCAGGTGACATCCTTCTCTCCCCCATATATTCATAAAAAATTATTAACATTTGTACATCTCCTTCAGCCAACCATGTTTGCCACAGTGATATTTTCTTTTGAAAAGCATCTGTTTTACCTCGTACTGTAGTAAACATATCTTTAAGTTGTCCTTGCAAGGATATGTTTAGTTCATTTAACAGTGAAAAACATCTGCCATCTATGCAAGCTTGGCTACCCACTCATTGTCAGACAAGAGTTCTTGAAATTTTGGAGTATTTTGCTGCTGAAAAAGTAATTTAATTTCTTCACACAGGATGAACAGTTGTGTCAGTATTTTGCCCTGTGAAAACCATCACAGGGCAAAATGAAGAAAGTGAGTAAACAGGGGAACCATTCCTTCACAAAATGTTTCAAATATTCAAGAATTGTGCACTGTGTTGAATTTCATTTATAATTTTAATAACATCTGATAATAATGTGTGTAGTTCTGGGGACATTTTTTCACCACAAGATGCTCACGATGCAGTGTGTAGACAGAATATCTGGGTGACTAATATTTTTCACTTTTGCAACAACTCCTGAGCGATGTCCAGTCATGCTTGCGGCATAATCTGTATATATCCCAATACATTTTTTCCATTCAATTCTGTTCCAGGAAATAACTATTAAGTGCTTTAAAAATCTCAGAGCTAGTTGTTCTACCTGGCAAGTTGAGTGAACAAAGTAGTTCTTCCTGTAATTCTCTATCACACTCAACCTTCACAAAACAAAGAAGGGCCTTGTTACATCCGTTGATTCATCAAGTTGAATTGAATAATATAGTGAATTTTTTACCATTTTTATAACTTGATTTTCAATATCTTCAGCCATTTTTTTCAATTCTGTGCATAACAGTATTAGCAGACATAGAAATCACTTTCAGTTTCTGTACAGCTTGTTTTAATAAAACCTCTTCATTGGCTTGTAACATGTAAGGTTTGATTAATTCTTCTCCAATCATATATGGCTTTTTATTTTTTGCTATTTGAAGTGTTATCAGATAGGAAGCCTTTTATAAGGACTTATCCTAAAGAACCATATTTTTTAAAGCATCTGCTTGTTTTTGCATATTTTCATGCATTCTTTGAAAATATTCAAGTGGTTTCTTAGCTAAATCTGGGTGTTTTGATTGCAGGTGTCTTTTGAGTTTTGAAGTTTTCATGGCATCATCAGATAAACTCTCAGAACATATCATACAAAGAGGCCATGGATTCAGTTCACTACCAGGTTCTTGAATAAATATGAATTTTAAGTAGTTTCAATTATATTTTCTTGATACTTTGCATTTTTTTCTTTCTGCCTCCAGTTTGAATTTTCTTTCTAATGGTGTGTGGAGGAGGACTGTAAATTGCTCTGATTCATTGATCAGCTCATGATTAAGTGAAGTATTACTATTTTCATTAGTTATTCTATCTTTAGTTTTACTAAAGAAATGCAAAATATTCGTTTGCTTTTTCTCACTCATATTGGATCTGTTACCTATTTTATTTGAATCTGAAAACCAAAAAAAAAAAAAAATAATCAGATTAGTAACCTGGAACAACAGATTAGTAACTTGGAATAACAATTGTGCATTATGTTTAATAAACCTCACTTATAAATTATACAGATACACTAAAGATTTGTTAAACTATCCCAAATAATATCCCCGCTGGGTATTAAAAAATCATTAATGGATAGAATATTGTAAACATAATTCCTTTTGTTTTTAAGTTATTTAACCTCTCATAAATAGACTAGTCCAGGGGGTTGGTAACTTTGTAATTGTGAGAGGTAGACATCAGTAAAAAATAATAAGATAGTATTTTTATTCATTAACTCTGAGTCTATTACCGATTAAGTTACTATGTTATCTGTATGGTGATTTGACGTTTTCAATGTTCACTAAAAAAATTTTTTTTTTTTAAATATTTTGCAAAAATAGTTTTTGAGTATGAATGCTTATGAATTTGTATCTGGTACATAGCCAATTCTTGAAGATCCCACTACTAGTCAGTTGCTATGCCATGTTTGTAGAAAATTATACTAGTAAACCATCCAGTGTAACTAGTTATCAACAGTAATGGTTAGGAACCATTCAGTAACATGTATTGGACATGACTTTACAAGTCACATTTGTGTACTCATGTTTATTTTGAGATTACATAAGGTCTTGAACATATATACCATCCATAATACATTTTGTTACTCCTCATTTTTTAATAGGAAGCTTCATAAAAATTGAAATAAAGCCCCAATTTTTCTGCAGACCATCAAAAATTTTGCACTGACTGCCAGTGGTCTGTGGACCACCATTTGGCAACTAGAGAATTCTATGGGACTGAAAAATTCAAGCATCTCACTTAATTTCTTGGAGTTTAACCTTATTTTTTCTGTTTATGTCTCCTTTTCATCAAATTTTAGAGAATAATTCCTTGATTCCAAAATTGTCTGACTCAAAAAGTGCATTGTAGAAATATTGTAGCATGACTAAAATTCCAACAGTCTGAATCTGTCAATCTAGTTTCAATTCATTGAAGATCATTGATTTTTTTTCAAGCCAACAAACTAGGTCTTATCAATGGAATCAAATATTTATCAGTATATATCATCTTTCCAGATTTCTATAGAGTATAAATGAAAGGAAATGAAAAGTTAGAAAAATATCTGAATCATGTCAAGAAACTGAAACAAAAAATTAAGATGACAATTGTAACCATCATCATTGGCATGCTTCGAATAATACACAAGAGCTTTGCATAGAGGCTAAAAGAATGGAAAATCTGAGTAATAATTGAAACCATCCTAACAACAGCATATGAGGGAGACTGCTAATTGATTTAATGTTACTTGTACTCCAATGAAAATACACAGAGTACAAGTGATAATGACAATAATTCAACAATTCTCTATATCAACTGCTAATATACTGACAATAATTGCTGCAAGAGTCTATCAAACTTTAGATAAGAATGGTGAAGCTCAGTCTGTTGCTTTGGACATCTTGAAAGCTTTTGACAAGGTTTGGCATGCAGGTCTTCCTCACAAGTTGATGATCACTCTGGCCAAACTTTTGACCTGATCCAGTCTCTCTTATCAAATCCTGAAATGAAAGTTATCTTGAATGGCCACTCCTCTAGATCCTTTTGTACTAATGCAGGTGTCCCCAGGGCTCTATCCTTGGTCCTACTTTGTTTTTAATTTTCATTAATGACCTTCCTGATAAAATCACCTCTCAACTTGATATCTTTGCTGATGACATAAACATTTACTCTTGTCTTGATAATAATTCTGATCAGTCCAATAAGGCCGAATTAGCAGCTGATGTCAAAAACAACCTTCAGACTGTTAACTGGGGCAAGAGATGGCCTGTTAATTTTAACACCTCCAAAACTAATCTTCTTCCTATTAATCAAAGATATCTTTCTGCCTTCCATAAACATGGCTGATACTAACCTCCAAGACAGTTACAAATTACACCTTCCCAGGCTAACATTCTCAGTGGACATAAAGTTGAAAGACTATATTGAATCTATTGCTAGGTTAGCTGCTAAGAAAGTTGGTTCACTGTATCATGTGATGTAATTTTTCTCTCCAGAATATATCTTACATATCTATGAGTCTACCATTCATCCATGCTTATAATATTGCTGCCACATATGGTCTGGTACTCCTGTTATATATCTAGAGATTCTTGATAAAATCCAAAGAAGAATCAGCAATATTGTTGGTCCTGATCTGGCATTTCAGCTTCAGTCGCTTTCCCACCACCGTAAAGTTTCCTCCCTTTGCCTCTTCTATAAATACTTTCCTGGCAACTGTTCAGATGAACTATTTGCTATGGTACTTAGACTTCAGGAATTTAAGAGCAGTACTTGATGGGAGATTAGGCCTCACCAATTTACACTTGAGTTGGAAGATGTAACCACAAGTTCTATGCTAACAATTTCTTTTCTCACATTTCTCACTTGTAGAACTCCCTCCAGGCTCTATGCTTTCCAGCCAGCTTTAATATTCAAAAATTTAAATGCAATGTCAATTGCTATCTACTGTCCTCCTGATTACACTTCCTTTCTTCTCGCTCCTTAATAATGTTTCTGTTTTCTAATTCTTTCACACCTGGCAACCCCTTTAGGCCTAGTGGCCTTAAATAAAAAAAACAAGAGCTTATCAGTGGAAGATAGGTTTATTTATATCAAAATACACTAAACAAAACAGTGTGAGACTTTGTTAATATTTCAATGTTTCATAGCAATCTCTGATGCATTATGAATGGAATTGATTTCATTTTTCAATTACTATATATATTAACATATAATATTATGCTTTCAGATATCATTAGATATTTTATACTTTTTTTTATATCCACAAAAGTTATTATGATTTATTTTTATCTACCAAGACATTTGTATTGGTCATGAAGTAAGGAGTAAAAGTGAAATAAACAAAAGTTTCATGACTCTGCCCCCAGGGCCAAAAAATAAAATAAATAAATAAGAAATAAAAAAATAAATAAAAAACTTAAATAAGAAAGGAAGAAAAATTATTTTGGCTTCACAAAACAAAACTAATAAAGTAACCTTTAAAGAAAAGTTTGAAGCCTGCAAATCAGTTAAATTGAATAATTTATGCAATTATTGGGATGTGCACATACCATACTGGTTATTGCCACAAAAAGTGGAATTAGCATTTTGAGTTCAAATTCCAGTTGAGGCAGTTGCACTCATTTTCACACAAATATTCTTGGAAAAATATGAATTCATTTCTTCTCATACCAGATAGTGCTTAATAAAAAGGTATTCTGGACTCTCTAGCTTTCATTGGCAACAAGTCTAGAAGAAGGCCAACTCTGAATTTAAAACCTGCTAGCCATAGAGGGGAAAAAAACTCCACCCTATAAAACCTACTTGCTATTGAAACCACAGCAATAATATTGCTGATTCTTCTTTGGATTCTATCAAGGTCCATTCACTATAGTTGCAGTATAAAACAGAGGTTGGTTCTCTACATATGAAAGAAACCCAGATTTGTCTGAGATTGTGTCTATATTATTATATGTGCCATGCCTCTTTAGGATGTTGGCAATCATGGCTCTCCACAATTTCCTATACTTTGTAGCTCTTAGTAAATTTTACTT